GTGTTGCTGGTGACAAGCTTGCTTTATGGCTTAAAGCTCCACCCTTGTGTTGCTGGTGACAAGCTTGCTTTATGGCTTAAAGCTCCATCCCTGTGTTGCTGCTGACAGGATTGCTTTATGGCTTAAAGCTCCATCCCTGTGTTGCTGGTGGCAAGCTTACTTTATGGCTTGAAGCTCCATCCTCGTGTTGGTGGTGGCAAGCTTACTTTATGGCTTGAAGCTCCATCCTTGTGTTGGTGGTGGCAAACTTGCTTTATGGCTTAAAGCTCCATCCCTGTGTTGCTGATGGCAAATTTGCTTTATGGCTTAAAGCTCCATCCCTGTGTTGCTGGTGACAAGCTTGCTTTATGGCTTAAAGCTCCATCCCTGTGTTGCTGGTGGCAAGCTTGCTTTATGGCTTAAAGCTCCATCCCTGTGTTGCTGGTGGCAAGCTTACTTTATGGCTTGAAGCTCCATCCTTGTGTTGCTGGTGGCAAACTTGCTTTATGGCTTAAAGCTCCATCCCTGTGTTGCTGGTGGCAAGCTTGCTTTATGGTTTAAAGCTCCGTCCCTGTGTTGCTGATGGCAAGCTTGCTTTATGGCTTCCATCTCCACCCTATTGACAAGCTTGAATACCCCAACACCTTTTGAATAATGTTGTTGTTGTTGTTGGTTAAAAGTAATTTCCTTTTGTTTTAATACTCAAATAAGTGAGATGTTTCTGAGGTGACAGTGATATCTTTTTGTGTTAATGTTTGACTGAGTGAAATGTTTCTGAGGTGACAGTGATATCTTTTTGTGTTAATGTTTGACTGAGTGAGATGTTTCTGAGGTGACAGTGATATCTTTTTGTGTTAATATTTGACTGAGTGAAATGTTTCTGAGGTGACAGTGATATCTTTTTGTGTTAATATTTGACTGAGTGAAACGTTTATGAGGTGACAGTTAACACTCAACTGAGCATCAAGTTTCTGACATGACAGTAATATCCTACTGTGTTAATATTCAACCGAGTGACATGTTTATGAGGTAACAATAACTTCCTTCTGTGTTAACACTCATCTGACTGACATGTTTCTGACATGAGAGTGATATCCTACTGTATTAACACTCAACTGACTGACATGTTTCTGAGGTAACAGTAATTTTCTTCAGTATTAACATTCAACTGAGTGACATGTTTCTGACATGACAGTGATATCCTACTGTTAACACTCAATTAAGTGACATGTTCTTGACGTGACAGTAATTTCCTTCTGTGTTACTATTTAACTGAACGATATGTTTCTAACATGACAGTTATTCAACTGAACGATATGTTTCTGACATGACAGTAATTTCCTTCTGTGTTACTATTCAACTGAACAATATGTTTCTGACATGACAGTAATTTCCTTCTGTGTTACTATTCAACTGAACAATATGTTTCTGACATGACAGTAATTTCCTTCTGTGTTACTATTCAACTGAACGATATGTTTCTGACATGACAGTAATTTCCTTCTGTGTTACTATTCAACTGAACAATATAGAAGGAAATTACTGTCATGTCAGAAACGTCATGTCAGAAACATATTGTTCAGTTGAATAGTAACACAGAAGGAAATTATTGTCATGTCAGAAACATATTGTTCAGTTGAATAGTAACACAGTAATTTCCTTCTGTGTTACTATTCAACTGAACAATATGTTTCTGACATGACAGTAATTTCCTTTTGTGTTAATATTCAACTGAACAATATGTTTCAGAGATGACAATAATTTCCTTCTGTGTTAATATTCAACTGAATGACTATGTATTAACTGGACAGTTGACAAGTGAAAAGGTATTACAAGAAGTTAAAGGAATTTTTAGTGGGTTTTTATTATTAAAATTTTAAGTTTATCGGTTTCAATAGGTAAAGTAGAAAAAAAAAACGCTTATAAAACAATTAAACAGAGTAAAATCATAGTATTATTTAAAAATTACCCACAGAAACAGAAAATACAAAAATATTTTGTACCAAAAGGCAAAAATATTTAAAAAAACATAGTAGAATTTTTTCAAGATGATGAATCACACCAATTGATTTATCTCCAGTATTGATGCACGTTAAATTGTAAGACAAATTGATAGAGGACGACTGAATACAAAGATATACAAGTCCATTGGAGAAACAAGACACCACCATAAGAACTTGATTCAAGACAAAGGGTAGACAGAGAACGTTGTGAATCTTACCACTATTTACCTAGAGGCTTGAAAGCAGTCGAACTGCTCCCAAAACTTAAGTTTGACCCACCAAACAGTGAACTTCCACTACCGAACGCACCACTTGTGCCTAAGCCTGAAAAAAGAAAGAAAAATATCAATAAAGCAAATCTATCGAAGAGTTTTATTTCAAATGATAGAGTATTGTTTTTATGAATTTCACATATTACTAATTTTGATTACTAGTCAAATATATTTAAATATCATGAAATAATATTTGGATCAAAATAAGTTTTAATAACAGGAAGGAAATCCTCGTATTCTTAAAAACTTCTAATTCTCTGGAGTTGACTGTATAAAGTTTTGATAATAAAACAAACTAACTTCATACAAATCCATTTAATGCTAATCTTATAGATCTCTGGTTCACTGGAGCTGATTGTTTGTGTGTCTTATCAAACATACAAATCTTCTAGATCTCTGGTTCACTGGAACTGATTCTTTGTGTGTCTTATCAAACATAACTAATCTCATACAAATCTTGTAGAGCTCTGGTTTACTGGAACTGATTCTTTGTGTGTCTTATCAAACATAACTAATCTCATACAAATCTTATAGATCTCTGGTTCACTGAAACTAATTCTTTGTGTGTCTTAAAAAACATAACTAATCTCATACAAATCTTCTGGTTCACTGGAACTGATTCTTTGTGTGTCTTATCAAACATAACTAATCTCATACAAGTTTTACAG